TCTAAGATTAACTTAGACTCTCTAAAACCTCAAACTGCTCGTGAACTAATGAAGAGCTCCTATTTTAAATAAAAAATATTTGGAAATGGATTCAGTGTCACAAAATTATGTGTTAGTGTTATCAGAGTAAAAATCCTGGTGAAATAATAAAACATTTTAGAAAGACACCTAAAGAAATAAAGGAGAATTTGGGGAGAGAGGAAGAAGGGAAGAAAAAGAGTAAGACAGAAAGTGTCTGAGGGGAGAGAGAGGTAAACAATATAAAAAACTACTGAAAAACAATTGTAAACCAAAAATTGTGTACAAGAAAAATGATACTTCAAAAGAAAATGCAGAATACTTTTAAGACATATAAAAGCTAAAAGAACACAGGATCTATAGTTTCACAGTGTAAAAAATGCTAATGTAATTCTCCAGGTACAAGGGAAATGACAGCTAATGAAAACCTAAATAACTCTGACAATGGCAAGTACAATAAAAATTTATGATTTTTTAATTTAATTCTATTTAACAGTTAATTGATTAGTATATTATGGCCTTTATAACATGTCAATGTAAAATGTACAAAAACAGCAAAATTTAAGATCTACCTATACAATCATGTTAAAAAGGAATGTTGAAGGGAATATTTCAGATCAGGGGAATCTAGATGAAAACTCAGTCTATATCAGACTATACTCACAGGCAACCACCAAGAATGTCCCCTGTGTTTCCTACATCCATGTATTCTTACCACTAGCATTAACAAAGTCCTATACACATTGAATAGGGCTTACTCATGCAATCAACACAATTCTGAGTGGTTTAAGAGGCTAGGACATTAAAGCCACTGTGGCTTCTGACTACTCTCTTTTGGATAATTTTCTCCAGCTGGATGTCATCTTATTAGAATACTCATGAAGCCCTATGGACAGGTCCACATAGTAAGATAAAGAAGTGCCTGACAACATGAACTTGCAAATGTCTGAGTGGGCCATTGCAAAAAAACCAATGAAGTCTTTTGATGGCTATAACTCTACCTGGTTATCTTGACAGATGTCTAAGAGAAACTTGAGCCAGAACTAACTAGGAATGCCATTCTCAAATTCCTCATAAGCCCTAAGAGTGTAACAGTAAAATTTTACCATATTGAACTGGTGGATTTCAGGGCAATATTTTTCAAAGAAATCACAGAGATGGACTTGTTAGTACATGTCTATAATCTAAGAAGTCAGGAGCCAAGGCAGGAAGGTCAATAGATCAAGGCCAACTTAGACTGCATAGTGAGACCCAGCCTTTTAAAAAAAACTCAAGGCAAAAGCCCCTGAGTAAAAAACACAGTACCACCAAAAACAAGAAGGAAGGCAGTTCCTAATTCTGAAAATCACCCAGGATCACTACCATCCCAAAATGCAAGGTAGGGAGAGAGAAAGTGAAGAGTTTCATTATAGGGACACTTTGTACCTATTGTATTATTTGGTAAAAGAATATCAAGTATGCATTGCCAACATATTGGATGTGAAGTGTGAGTGAAATAGAATATCAGAGAGCAATTGCTAAATGTGCTTAGGACTAAGAAGCCATAGAATTTGAAACAACGTCTTCTGAGAAGGGAAATGCCCAGGGAAAGCAAACTTGGAAGGCAGGTGGGAATTAGGACTTCAGGAGAAACACACTAGAATTATGAGATGCTGTCAACCTCCACCTGGCAATGCTGCTAAGGTGGATGTTTATGTGAGATTCTGAAGTTCAGAGAAGCAGTCTGAACTGGAAGAACAAATCTGGGACAGGAGGTAAGATGATTAGGCGATGAGTATAAGCAGGTGAAGGCAGACTGATAACTGGTAAGTAGCCCAATAAGTGGAAGTGAAACAAACGAAGAGAAATAAGTATGGACTCCAAGAAGCAGCAGCTACCAAGGTAAGAAATGACCTAACAAAGGCAGTGTCCTTAAAATGCCTAGTCAGTTTTAAAATATAAAATTTATTTCCCTTTTTTTTTCTTGTGGCACTGGGGTTTGAACTCAAGGCCTTATATTTGCTAAACAAAAAAAAAATGTTCTGCGACAGAATTGGTTTTTTGAAGTTGTAGGCTGAGGTCCCATTTCTTTTCTGGCTGTCAACTCACAGGTCCTGGAAGATGCGCTCATTCCCTCAAACAGGCCTCCCTTTGTCTCCAACACCAGCATTAGAGAATCTCCCTCTACTAATCCTTTTCATGTCCTGAATCTTTCCAAATTTCTTTCTTTTACTATATATCCAGATTTTTAAGGGTTCTGTAATTTGATTGGTTTTACTCAGGAAATTTCCGCTCCTTAAAGTCACTGTATTTCATTACAGCTGAAAAGTCACTACTAAGAAACTGAATTTTTGTTTAACTGAATACCTGGGAGAAGGTATATTGATTCCAGGTAAGCACTGATGGCCTAGCAATACTAGAATTCTGTGTATATAATATCATTATTTTTAGTTTACCAAGTAATGATTTGGTCCTGTATGGTTATTTGGAACTGCTATTGTTCAGAGGTTTTAATTTTGGTTATCATTAAGTGATTTCAGAGGATGAAAGCACTACAGTTCAGCTGGCCCAGGAATTATGATGGCTTCCACACTTTTTCCTTCCATGCGTATCAGGCAAAACATGCACTGAAATGGTCTCAGTAAAAACATGAGCTAATTCTCACTAATTCACCACATGCTCTTATTGCCTGTTCTTAGATGAAAGATCAAGTGTGCTAGCAGATCTCCAATGTCTCCTAGCATCAGGCTTATGCCTGTCTGCCTGTCTCCAATATGGCTTCCCTCATTGACTTTACATTTTTACAGGGCTCTCCCTTGACCTTTACATGTCCAATATCTCCTTTCAGACATGAACTCCACTGGCTGCATTTGAGCCAGAGAGTGATGAATGTCAGGTAATAGAAAGTTAAACTGTGAAGTCAGCACAGATGAGAATGTACATACATAGAAACAGAACTCTGTGCTTCAGCAGAACACTTCCAACAACGTGACTGAACACCTAACTCAGAGACATGTAAGAATGAGAGGACCAAAGAGCAGATGATATCCTGGAGAGTTACTGTGGCTGTGAGGATTTATCTAAAATGTGAAGACAGGAATGTCCTGTGGAGGAACAGACAATTGAGTTAGTGTACCAGAGAGTAGAATTGTTATAACATGCAGAACAGGTTGTGTGCTGTACTTGCCTACAGATGGTGGTTGTTGGGTGGGAAGGTGGAGTCAAATGATGGGAAGAGCAATAGAAATAAGTTTGATGAACTAAGCAAATGAGCTTGCATACAAATTTTCCGTGACCCTGTACCCTATGTGTAGAATAAAAATAAGGTGACAGATGAAGCATCAGCTTCTTCATTGCTTTCATACTGAGATACTGAAATAAGTCTGCGCCAGTTATTGCACTAGAGCACTGGCTAGTAGACAAAACATTAAAGATGCTTTGCAAGAGGAAAGGTGATGAACCATCCTCCCTGGAGTGTTTAGTGCATGCCGGTGGCAGGCAGAGGGCAGCAAGTGCCCAACTGTTTTTCAAAGTAACCTTCCAATTCTTTTCAACTTGCCCAGAGACTTGTGATCCTACAAATAAAGGTGTGTGGACCATTTAACTAACTAACCAAAAAGGAAAAATTTGTCTTCAATTTTATATTTTATATAAATATAAAATATTAAAGACATAAAATATAATATTAAGACATAAAAATTTATGTCTTAAATTTTATATTTTAGCATTGGAGGAAGGGCTCAAGTGGTAGAGCACCTGCCTAGCAAACATAAGGCCTTGATTTCAAACCCCAGTGCCAGAAAAAAAAAGTAAATTAATTTTATATTTTTAAACTGAAAAGGCATTTTGAGTACACTACCTTCGTTCTGAGATATCACTGTTAAGTCATTTCTTACCTCGGTAGCTACTGCTTCAAGGAGTCCATAGTTAGTTCTCTTCATCTATTTGACTTCTGCTTATTGGGCTATCTACCAGTTATCAGTTTGCCTTCACCTGCTTATACTCATCGCCTAGTGATCTTACCTCATGTCCCAGATTTGTTTTTCCAATTCTGACTGCTTCTCTGAACTTCAGAATCTCACATAAACATCCACCTTAGCAGCATTGCCAGGTGGATGTTGACAGCATCTCACAATTCTAGTGTGTTTCTCCTGAAGTCCTAATTCCCACCTGCCTTCCCAGTTTGCTTTCCCTGGGCATTTCCCTTCTCAGAAGACATTGTTTCAAATTCTCTGCTTTCTCAGTCCTAGACACATGAGCAGTCGTTCTCTGATATTCTATTTCACTCACACTTTGCATCCAATATGTTGGCAATGCTTACTTGATATGCCTTTAAAATACAACGAGAACCTGACTGTCTTTTAGTACAGCCATCAGTGTGTCAAGAGCCCTGAACTGGGAGACACAGAAGACCTGGATATGATTGTAGAAGGAAGTTAAAATACAACTTTTATTTTGTATTTATTTGGTAAGCTGTTTTAAAACTCCCAAATAATACAATAGGTACAAAGTGTCCCTATAATGAAACTCTTCACCTTCTCTCTTCCTACCCTACATTGTGGGATGGTGATAAATCCTGGAGGATTTTCAGAATAAAAACAACCTTCCTCTTTTTTTTTTTTTTTTTTGGTGGTACTGTGTTTTGAACTTAGGGCCTTTTGCCATGAGTTGTTTTTTAAAGGCTGAGTCTCACTATGCAGTCTATCCATTTCCAAGTATTTTTTGCTTAAAATAGGAGCTCTCCATTAATTGACTAGCAGTTTGAGGTTTTAGAGAGTCTAAGTTAATCTTAGAACTCTAAATTAACTGTGTCTTTTCTGGTCACACAATTATGCTTTCTGTGTTGATGTTCTTGGATCTTACATCAGATACTTTTACAGTCCACTGCCTGCACAATTTGTTTTTGTATATTCTGAATGCTTTGCATAACCCCTCCAGCCCAGTCCAACTGCTCCAATATTATGAATGACACCTTTGCAATAAGAACAGAGCTGCATTAGGCAGGCAGGGACAACAAGATGGTGTTGCAAACCCGAGTCCTCATCACCTTGTTGCTATGGGTCTCTGGTGAGAAACTTAAATGTTGCAGTTCCTTCAGAGTAATCTGTTGTTGAGTTGACAAAATGGTTTTTAAGATGTAGTAGGAAGTAATGACTATTTCCAATATGAACCCAATTATGGATTGGCTTGTACCATTAGAAAAGCATTTTAAATGACATGTTTCAATGTTTGTATTATGAAGTCTGTGTGTATATGTATGTATGTATGTTTATTGTCTTCTCCTGATTGCAGGTGTCTGTGGGGACATCACGGTGACTCAGTCTCCAGCCTCTCTGGCTGCGTCTCTAGGAGAGAGAATCACCATCAATTGTAAGTCCAGCCAGAGTCTTTTATCCAGCTCAAACCAGAAGAACTACCTAGCCTGGTACCAGCAGAAACCAGGACAGCCTCCTAGAATGCTGATCTATGCAGCCTCTAACCGGGCATCTGGGGTCCCTGACCGCTTCAGTGGCAGTGGGTCTGGCACAGATTTCACTCTCACCATCAGCAGCCTCCAGGCTGAAGATGTGGCAGATTACTACTGTCAGCAGTATTATAGCTCTCCACCCACAGTGCTTCAGCCTCAATCAAAAACCTCCTCCCTAGGCCATGGGTCAGTGATCCTTTCTGCACCAGCTACTTCCTCCTCACATAACCCTGATCTCACATCCATCCTATCTGTCTGGGAGGTTTCATTTAGTGATGTAGTTCTTGGAGGGTTTACAGGATTTAGGAGAAAATTCCAGAACTGGCCTTTTTTCTGGATCCCTTTTCATGGGAGGTTATTGATGAGAAATGTCAGGCTGTTCAAGAGATTTTTAAGTGTTTTTGAGTATCTGGAACTTGAATATTTCTTGTGGATATATTTTATGACTGAGCCAAGAAAATTAATCTTTACCATTTAAAGAAAGGGCTATTGCTTTTTACATGTTGACAGAACAATTTCTCTTTCCTAGACCTCCTTGAATCAAGAACAGTTCCCTTTTGACTCCTATTCCCCTGGTCTCCTTGTTTTTATAACCTCTAATCACCTCTAAATGTTAATCACCTCCAAACTCTATCATCCCCATTATTAAACCTTTGTCCCTTATTCCAAACCTTGGATACAGAAGTTCTTATTTCCATCTTGGTTCTTCTTTCCACACACCCTGCTTTCCAGGTGATTCTTTCTAGTCAGTTTCACTCAAAATGCTTTCCTACTCTTTCCTCCCTCCTATCCTGTCCTTTTCTCTTCCCTTTGTTTCTATCTGTCATTCTCTTTCTTTCAAAGGCAATCCTTGAATTCTTTAACTCGATCACTACAGATATATGGGACAGAATTCCCCATTAGATTTCCCCTTAACTTGTCAATTTTCTCTGGTTTGAGTCTAATTTGTGATGGATATTGTTGGTCATATGTCTGCTGTCACTTGAGTTCTTTAGGTAGCTTGCAGTTAACATGGCCATGTCAGTGTAATGGGATAAACTCCAGTCATCTAGTATTATTTCTTCGTCCCCATCAAAAATACTTGGGAGAATGAAATTTAGTTGCAGAAAATATCTCAGCTAAGCTGAGTATTGGACTCTTTGTTATATAGCACTTTCTCATACCAGTGAGAAATATTTTAAAATATTGACCTTAATTATATATACACAGTGGAGTTTTCCTCAGCCATAAGGAATAATGACATGTGGTTTGAAGGTAAATGGATGCAATTGAGGACATCATGTTAAGTGAAGTAATCCAGACACAGAAAGACAAAGGCTGCATGTTTCCTTTCATATGTGGAATATAGATCCAAAACATATACATGCATACAAAACCAAGCATATATAAACTGATAGGTAGAACATGTTAGTAATTGTGTTATTACTCTATGGAACTTGGGCAAAGAAGGAAAGGAAAAGAGAATGATAGAGCATCAGTAATGTCATGAAACATAACATCTGTTAAGGTAGAGGAGATAAGGATGTGTGTTGAAAGCTACTGAAAATTAGAGTGGGGGATGGGAGGTAAAGTGGTCAGGAAGAGTAATGGAAAGGGTTGTTCCGACCAAAATAAAGTATACCCACAACGGGGATATATAGAGAAACCCCTGTAAATATGAACTTAAATATTAATAATGAAAGATAGGTCTGTAAAATAAGTTCAGTGTTGGGGGAGTACTAGTGAGACGTGGAGGGTGAACGAAGGAGATTAAGATGAGGGTGTTTGGTTGATGGACTTCATATATAATATGAAATAAAACAAAGAAACCTCTTGCAATTACTTTAAGATGGTGGGGAGGGGGCTGATGGAGAGAGGATAGGGGTGATCTAACCAATGTACACATAAGCTTAATCAGAATTGGCACTATGAATCCCCCCTGTGTAACGAATATATCCTAATAAAAATTTTATAAAAAATTGATGTTAAGAACTGTACATATTTGTTTATCCAGAATGTTTACTCAGTGCTTAATATGTATGAAGTTAAAAAGATCAAATTTAATTTTATTTCAGGAAAATAAGTAATAAATGCTATTATACTAGTAAATGAACTTTTAGTATGTAGTATAAAGACTATATAAAATCAGTCACATTTCTTTTCATAAATAACAACTCATATGAAAAGTAAATGAAGAAAATAATTTTCTTACAATAGTATCAACAAATAAAATAATGCCAGGAGCAGTGGCTCATGACTTGTAATTATAGCTATTTGAAAGGAGAAGGTAGTGTGGATCAAATTTCAAGGACAGCCTGAGCAAACAGTGAGACAACATCTCAACAAATTAGTCAGGCAGTAGTGACATACAACTAATCTCAACTATTTATGAGGCACAGGTAGGAGCACTGTGGTCAAAGGTGGGTGTTGGCAAAAACAGTAGACACTATATGAAAATAACCTAAAAGCAAAAATGTGGTGAACTACTTGCCTAGCAAGTGCAAGGCCTTTAGTTCAATCCCCAGTACTGTCAAATAAGACAAACAAAATAAAAATACTTAGGAATAAATTTAAGTGAAGAGGAGAAAAATCTATATACTGACACCTAAAAAATTCTAGTGAAAGAAATTGAAGAAGACACAAATAAATGGAAAGATATCCTGTGGTTTTGGATTGGAAGAATTAACATTGCTAAATGTTTATGCTAAACAAAACAACATACACATTCAATTTCTCTCAAAATTTCAAAGACATTTTCACAGAAATAGAAAAAACAGTTCTTTAAAGTATTTTTAAAGCATACTTTAGTTTTACAGGAGGTTTCATTGTGACATTTTCATATATGCTTACAATGTACCTTGGTTCGGTTCATCCACTATTATCCTCCCTCACCCCTCTCCCAGTACATAAAATGATTTTCAGAGGTTTCAATGTTCAATCTTCATACAGTGATATAAGGTACATTAATCATATTCACCCTCCTTTACCCTCTATTAACCCCTCCCTTCCTGCTAGTACCTTCTCTGTAGTAGGATCTGTCTTACATCCCTGTTCTTCATTGTTTAAGTGTGTGTTCATTGTTCAAAGGGGTTTTGCCATTGTATTTCATCTGTGAATATATTGTACTTTAATTAATCTAATGCCTTCTCCTTCTTTTCCTTACCCTTTCTCTCTGTCCCTTTATTATTCAAAAGCTAGAGAAAGTAATTCTAAAATTCACCTGGAACCACAAAAGACTTTGAAGAGTCAAAGCAATATTGAAAAAACAGAATCAAAGCTGAGGCATCACACTACCTGATTCTAAATTACACCAGAAAGCTGTAGTAATCATGACATCATGACACTTATATACACCTAGTGCATAGACCAATGGGATAGAATAGAGAATCTAGAAATAAACTCACATGTTCATGGTCTACTAATTTTTGAAAAGGGCACTAGGAAGATGTAATGGAGATGGGTTAATGCCTTCAGTAAATCGTGCTGTGAAAAATGAATTTCCACATCAAAAAATGATATTGTACCTTTGTGTTATACCACACAGAGTATGGAGAAAATTCTTAAGTGTGAGATCAGGAAACATAAATTCTAGATGAAAACATAGAGAGAATTGCCTTGATGTTAGTCTTGTCAATGTTGTTTTGAATATTACACTAAAAGCAAAAATAAATAAATGTGATTCAATCAAAGTAAAATATTATGTACCCCAGTGGCAAAAACACAATTAAGAAATAACCCAAAATTTGGGAAAAAATGATTGCAAACCATATATCTCATAAATGGTTAATATCCAACAATAGAGGAACTCACATAACTTAAGAGCAGAAAAACAAATAATCTGAGTAAAAACAAATAGAAAAATGACCTGAATAAACATGTCTTCAGAGAAGGCATATGAGTGACCCTCATATATGTGAAAAGGTGGACAAAATCATAAATCAGCAAGGAAATGAAAATAAAAACCACTATGAGATACCACCTAACATTTTTCATGGTAGACTCCATAAAAAAGTAATAGGTAACAAGTGTTGGTGAGGGAGTAGAAAAAAGGAGGTCTAAGGGAGGGTAGCTCGGTGTGGCCATCATGGTAAACATTATGGACCTTTCTATGGAAATGGAAAACAGAACTTTCAGATGACACAACAATTCCTTTTCTGGGTATATAACCAAAGGAAATGAAATCACCAGTTCATAAAGACAACAGCACTTCAACAGTCATAGATACGATATGGAAATAATCAAAGTGTCCATAGATAGATGAATGAATAAAGAAGATGTGATCTTTTTCTCTATATATTCATATAAATATACATATATAATGGAATATTATTTACTCTTAAGATCACAGGTGGGGGAATAAGGAGAATGGGCAATGGGGACGTGTGTGTAGGTACACGAAGTTACAGGTATATGGGATGAATGAATCTAGAGATTTAGTGTACAACATGAGGAGTATAACATATTGGTGATGTTGATAAAATTTACTTTATTTGATATTTTTGCTAAAAGAGTAGAGTTTTAGTGGTCTTGCAACAGCACATAAATGGGTAACTATTTGAGGTGGTGGGTACGGTCATCATTTGAAAATAGCATCAATGCCATGTCAAAATATACCAAAATATGCTGCACTCCTTAATATATTTGATGAAAAACAAACAATTAAAATCTAACTCCTACAAATGCATCAGTAAACATAAAATACATAATATTTAAAGTGCTATGATCAGAAGGGATACAAGGTTGGATCAACAACGAGAAACATTTTCACAATTGATCTACCATAGATATTCATGGAAGGGTGCGCTGGAAGGCAAGCTTTAATTAAAGTCTCAACAATGGTGAGAGAATGACCTATAGGAATTTATCTCGGGAATACTATTGTATTTGGAGAAGCAGTGCATTTCTGAGGCAGGATAAGAACCAGTATGTTGGAGAAATAGAAGGAAGCCAGTATTGCGGAAGTAGATAATACTAGGGCAATAGTAGTGAGAAAAAAGTTAAAATGATAAAGAGGAGGCCACATTAATAAGGGCTTTGGAGGCTACTTGAAGGATTGAATAAGTAGACAGGTTTTGAATAGAGCAGACGTGATTAGATTCACAGTTTAAAAGGATCTTCAGGACCAGTGGAACAGAATAGAGGATCTGGATGAATCCACACAGCTATGCCCACCTTATTTTTGACAAAGGCACTAAAAATATCCAATGGAGAAAAGACAGCCTCTTTAACAAGTGTTGTTGGAAAAGTGGTTATCCATCTGGAAAAAATGGAAACTTCTTGATCCATGTTTATCACCCTGTATTAGTATCAACTTAAAATGGATCAAGGACCTTAATATCAGACCTGAAACTCTGAAGTTGATACAGGAAAGAGCAGGAAACACTCTGGAACTGATAGGTATAGGCAAGGACTTCCTCAATAGAACCTCAGAAGCTCAACAACTAAGAGAAAGGTTGGACAAATGGGACTTCATAAAACTAAAATGCTTCTGCACAACAA